CTCTCTCTCTCTCTCTCTCTCCAACTATCTACCGAAGCAACTGCCGTGCACCCGCAAAATGCCGCGCGCCCAACTACCGCACGCCCACCAACGACAACGAGCATGGGCAGTTCTGACTGCGCGCGCAATGACTACCACGATAGTTAGCACACGAAGAAGAAGAAGAAGAAGAAGAAGAAGAAGAAGAAGAAGAAAGAAGAAGATGAAGATGAAGAAGGAACTACTAACTTACCGGTGGCTCTTAGGGATGGTGGCGACGACGACTATGGGGTCGACGTGCTGGAGGTGAGGGGGAGGGCGCGCCGACAGATAAAGGCAACCTCCACGCAGGCTGTGGAGGCCCCCTGGCTTGGAAAAAAAATGAATCAACCCCGCTAGTTCGATGGGTTATGGCCCACCGGGCCGGTAGGACCTACCCGGTTCCGGTTGGGGGTGGGGGCCCCGGTCCTATCGGGTTTTCAGCACTGGTTTTGGGCTTAGGTTAGGTCTGGGGTCTTGTCTTGGATCTGGGTCTAGGCCTGGGCCTGGGGTCTGGGCCGGGGTCTGGGATGCGGGTTTGCGTCCAATCGTATCTTTGATTGAGGGCGAATAAGCTACAGGTCATCTGATTGAACATGAAGGATTACTCTGATTAGCATTTCGCCTCGCGCAGCCATTATTTGGTTTGAGGGCTAATTGAAAAGGCTCAGCAATTCCCAGAAGTCTTCCTTGCTTGAGATGCTGATGTAGCTTCTTTGCTGTCTTTTTAACACAATGTGGAATGAATCTTTTCTCTGCACTGACTTGTTAGGGACTTCTCCTTTTCTTCCTTTCCCCCCTGCCTCCCACCCCTCCCTCCCCCTCCCGCCAGTGATTCTGTGGTTGTGACTTTGATGCTTATCTGACCTGTGCCTGTCTGCTGTCCACCTCTTTGTTTGCTGGTGTGCACTGCACCTGTGCCTTTATGGCTGCATGGATGGGCATGTTCAATGACGGTGTAAGCCTGCGATTCGGTGGAGCGAGTGCTGCTGCCGTCGCTGTATGGATGTGCGTGTTGAATGTTCGTACCTGCGATTCGGTGGAGCAAGTGCTGTTACAATGACTGCATGGACGTGTTAAGCGTCTGTGTAAATCTGTGATTCGGTGGGATGATTGTTACTCGTCTGTTTGGCGAAGCAGGTCGGCTAATCATTGAGGCGTGTGCATTGGAGTGCATCGAGCATCCCTTGGAGCACTTGTCGTGTCCAATTGTGACTGTGCGGGAGGAATCCATTCGAAGGTGGGTAAACCTGCATAATGCCTGATTTTGTGTGCAGATGCATGTTGCGTTGTCCATTTGCCATCTAAATTTTCATACTGTATTACTCAGAGCCTTTCCTAGTTTGTTTGCTGGTGAGGGCACCTCACTGGAGTTTTGTACTCCTGAGAGTAAGTCGGGTGTAATGAGTTTTGTCATTGTCGGGACACATATGGGGTAAATGTAGCAGATGCAGCTTTTGAAAATGTTTTTTTCTACTCTTTTGTTTTTTGCAGTTCATCCTTCTTGGTTGTCAAGCGTGTTCTGGAAGTGCTTGTCCGTGAGCATGTGTTGTTTGTGTGGGTTTCTCTCTTTTTCTGTTTCTTCGAAAATCTTTCAAATATCGTTCTCTGGTCTGAGTGGAGAAGCTTGCAAGCAAATAGGAAAGACAGATTTTGACTCTACTTTTTTTCTTTAGCAATTTGTTGGCTGGTATGACCTTTCGAAAGGTGAAGGGACGGAAGGTTGACGCTTTAGCAATAACGATTTCAGAATTGCCATAGTTGGAAAAAGAACTCTGGTTGCTCCGCTACAAGTCTACAAAAGCCTAACAGCAAGCTAGGGAATGGAATCCGGTCTATTTTACTAAGCAGTGGGACCTAGAATCAGTTTGTTCAAACTTTCTTTCCAGCTTCCCAGCCACATCGTGCTTGTTTTTTTAACGTTGCCAATATTTGTGGTTTTTGAAGGTTGCCGATGTTTGCAATTTGGGTGCTTTTGAGATTTGGGGAGCTTGACGACTTGAACTCAGTTTCTTATTCTTGGTGAGGGGACATTTTACTGTGATAATGTATATCCTTCTGCAATGGTTAGTGCTGTCCTAACTTAAAGGGGATAATAATTGTACCGTGAACGGTGGAAGTTTTTTTACCTGACGTGTGGAGCTGCGCCCCAGAGGTTGGATTGCATTTCTCATGAATGGTGAATGCGTTGCCTGCTTTCTACTGATGATTGTGCAGGCTGGGATCGCGAAAAGACGCAATTGTGGTGGTCGAGACCAGGATTGAGGGGGGGGAGAAAGCTGTAAAAACGAGGTGGGCTTCTGATTGACACTCCTACCTCGTTTGCACTTGGTTGCAGCACACCATGTGTTGTCATTGTTTCCAGGAAGCTGTCATGGAAAGTATGTGTCCCTACTTCGTGGAGTATCCCCAGTGCCATATCCACCACATCCTCTCCTAGCATGCCAGACATGCGGTGTTGGCCATGCACCTACTGCAACAGCAGATGGATTTCCTCCTTCCTTCCTAGACGAACGGTAGATGCTGCAGCCTGACGAGGAAAATAACTACCGTTTGAACCATCTACGGACTGCTGTACTGGTAGGTTATCACCACCAGGGCGAGCTGTGGCAGACCAAATCCTGCAGCAGCTAAAACTCTTGCTTTGGATCAATCCCTGCCGTCGTAGTCTGCCCACAGAGAGGGAATAAATGATGAAACCCAAGAAACCTGCTCAACGCCACTTTCTGATAACCCACCGGAGATTCAGCTAGCATGTGGTTGACATGCCTTGTGCTGTGAGGTTTATGAAGGGATATAGCCCATGCGAGTTTTTCTCTTCATACGTATGATGCCAGTCAATACTGCAGTCATGTACAGCACCCTGGCAGTAAACAGGGACTGGAACGGCAATGCCTCCACGATTGCGGTTGGCGTGCCTCTGTGTTCCTAGCATGTAGGAGCCATGTAGCCTGTGACATCTGTCTACATCGCGCCATTCACTGCAGCGATTGCGACTGCGAGAATTCGATGCTGTGCTTCTACAGTCCACACCCGAACCGGTCCTGGCCGGTCTGTAGAGGTGGCCACTTACCGTAGGTAACGACTGCTCAATTCAAAATCTTATGCAACCCAAACACTGCCTGGCCTTACGTGGCATTCTAGAGTAGTCTGCTCCAGCAGTGACTATTTAGAACCGTGTTAGAATTCCACCTCCCATTTCCTTCCTCCCTCTTTTTGTGTACTATTAGTAAATGCATACGAATTGATATCATTAAGAGAACAGACAAAATATAGGCTGGAGATCTGAGGGAATCTGAGCAAAAATGAACAGGGATATACCTCTGCCTTTACTCTGCCTCCTTTCATTGTGTGCAAGTGGACCGTGGTGGCACACGGGGATGTGGGCAGCTCGCGCTCAACCACAATCAACGTGGCCAGCCTTGTACATGAGAGGCACAGTCAAAGTGGAGCAGCAAGAACAAATGAAAGGGGTACTCCAAAGAAAGTAAAAGTGAACAAAATTAAGAAAGGGATTTAATGGCTTCTATTATACTCCATATTGCTTGTGCAATGAACCTCGCAATTCCAAACCAGTCCGACATGCACGATGAGAGCATAACATGCTTGCAACTGCACCATGAGCCGTACCGTGCGGTGCGCCGCACGGTGTACGGCTTGGCACCTGCTTGCGAACCTGGGTGGCTATGGCTGCCAGGGCTTGCTTCCTCCCCCGACGCTCGTCCTTCATCCAGGTCGCACTATTACAGAAGCAACTAGCAGCACTTCCGCAACTTTGCGAGTGAACAACTGAACTGGTCTGGCGCTGTAGCAGCTAAATATTTGCAGTTGACTGTTTATGCTTGCTTCGGGCCGGTACCGGTCACCTGCGGCCTCTGCCTTGCCAAAATTTGTGTTTCCGGAAGTGTCCGGACTTTCTTGGCACGCTATTGCAAAATTGGACTTGGGACTGGACTTCCTCTGGGGGTACCGACGGATTTTTACCGACCTGTGATGTTTCAGTACCTGACACCTACCGACCTCCGACGCTTCAATCTACGGACCCTAAGACCTACAGTACCGGGCCATTCTGGGACGGAGGCCAACTGGGACCTTAGGATTGGGACTGACTGTGTGAAATCCTTTCACTCCCGCCAGCCGGATTTCAAGGTCTTTCGAGAAAGATTCAATTTTTACCTGTCTATAACGTTGACACCTTTCCGATCACACTCAAGTAAGATACTATATGAGGTGCGGTCTCCATTAGTTCATCCCTTGTATACCAACGGCCATGTTCTGGCTCCTGATAAACGAACCACACCTGATACTGCCACTGTGGCCCAACTCTTCTTCCACTTCTGCATGCTCATTCTTCTAAGATACAGTCAATATTATACCTTCCATATCAGGAGGTATCATCGCTCGGCGTGAAGGGAAGTGGTCATCAGTGTTATATGGTAGTAATTTAGATGCGTGGAAGTCCGGGTACGTGTGCAGATGCATTGGAATGTTGACGGTGTAGGAGGGACGGTCTTCATCTCCAATGATATCTAGGATCTCCCACGGTCCTCTGTAAGCAGGTAATAACTTCTGTGAAAGGTTCTCTTCCGTAAGGAATTCCTTCGACTTGACCGAGACAAGATCGCCAACAGCAAAGAGCGACTGTCTCCGATGCTTGTTTGCCTGTTCTATCATCTGATGCTGGGCTTGTCAGATGCTCTCAGTGACTTTCTGCAGATCCTTCTTGTAGTGAACTGCAAATTATCTAGTGCCAGGTGGCAGTATCTGAATCTGCTCGGGATTCAGGCAGTCTACCGGTCGTCGGGGACACCACCCCTTGTGCAACTGGTTTGGCGTCCGATTAGTGGCTAGGTGCACATCCCTACAGTTATAGAAATCGCTAACGTGAGAATTGGGCGATCCGGGCCGCCGACAGTCCTACTGGCCAACGGTCTGGATTTCCGCGCGATCTTAAGACTTTAAGACTTTAAGATCGCGCGATGATCCAAGCTGTCCGCCCTGCCGGGCGACCTGGATCGTTGCACGATTGTAAAGTCTTAACATCGCGGGACGAGCAGAGCCATCGGCCCGGTAGGACCTTGGGCGGCCTGGATCGTAGCGCCCGTTGAAATAGAGGGCCCGTCGCAAAAGAATCGCCCTGGCACCTGCTGGCCATTGGGCAGTTGCAAGGCGGCGCATTGGCCTGTTGCAGGGCCGCCACCTCCCCCCCGCCTCCTCCCGTCATCTCCTCTCCGCCTTAGCCACCTCCCATCCACCTCCTCCCGCCATCTCCTCTCCGCCTCCACCACCTCCTGTCCGCCTCCTCCTGCCATCTCCTCTCCACCTCCGCCCACTTCTCCTTCACCTTCTCGCTTTCCTCTCTGCCTCCGTCACTTCTCCTCCGCCTCCGCCACCTCACCTCTCCGCCTCCGCCACCTCCTGTCCGCCACCATCTCTTCTCCACCTCCGCCACCTCCTGTCCGCCTCCTGCCATCTCCTCTCCACCTCTGCCCACTTCTCCTCCACCTCTGCTCACCTCTGCTCTGGCCTCCATTCCGCTGCCCGCACATCCGCCATCTCTCTGTCCGCCTTTAAAAAAAACACAAAAAAACAACTCCCCATGGCCAGCGCCGACCTCCTGTCCGCCTCCGCCCACCTCCCTCCCGCCATTGGGATCACCAATCCCCCCTCGGCCGCCGCCCACCTCCCGTCCTCCTCCTCTTGTCATCTCCTCTCCACCTCCGACACTTATCCTCCGCCTCCGCTCACCTCCGCTCTGGGAGACAGCAGACTGTCGGGGTTGAACCTCCTGATGAGTCGGTGGAAGTTCGACGAAACAGTCTGGAACGCAACTGCTTCCTTGGGTGGAGTTGTGTACAGTGAACATGGTGACACACACACACTAACGGGGCCACACACACACACACGCACACACAAGAGAGAGAGAGAGAGAGAGAGAGAGAGAGAGAGAGAGAGAGAGAGAGAGAGAGAACCCCACCATAAGTTCATAAGTTCATAACCACACTTTCTGATGAAGACGACGTTGAAAATGCTGAGGAAGACGAAAGATAAGGGACATGATTTATCGAGGACAAGGTAAGTTCTGCCCTCAAAAGGCACCCCACGTGGCACAACCATGTGGCTTGATCATTTTTGTTTGTTTTCTCCTTTATTTCGTTTTCTTATTTTGTGTGCATGTGTGAGAGATAGAAGGGGGGGGGGGGGGGGGGGGGGGGGGGGGGGGGGGGGGGGGG